AACTGCTCAGCCTCGCGCTCTATACCCAAAGAGACCCATTTTGAAGCTGCTTGACTCTGCTCTGACCTTGTAGCAGACTGATATTCTCGAAGAAAGCTAGAGACGTCGCTCCTGTTGGACCAGGACTCTGCTCGTGAGCGGAGAGCTTTGGCGAGTGCTATAGAGAGCTTCTCATAGCGCTCGGAGAATGTAATATCATCATACCATTGAGGTAAGGCTGGGAATCCGGTTCCATCAACCGGGGGTATGCATTCGTCTACAGCCATAGCAAAGATCTCATTCGCATTCGTGATCCAGGGATGAGTCTCAGCAGTCGCCTCGCCTGTAACTGAAGGTTCAGCTGGGGGATCCGACGACTCTACTTGGGCTGTCCTCGCTCGACTTAGCCGGTAGCGGTCACGGCCTCTGCGCCGTCCTTCGGCTGAACGCTTTCGCGAGGGCATGAATTGATCAATCTGCCGAGAAACCCTGGCGTGAATCAAACTCAAACCAGCAGTTCGAATGTTCGGATAAAAGGTAAGAGAAATGAGATGAGAAATGACCTAATTGTTTAGCCTCTGTTGATCCAATCTAGATCATTGAGAAGGCTCAAAGAATCATGGCCTCTGCTTCTTAGTCGGAGGCAACTCTTTTCCGACCATCGTATCCTTTTTATGGCTCTTCGGCGGCCAGGGACACTTGCGAAGCTTCAGTAAAGGGCACTGGTTGCGAGTATGTGGGCAGATACCGGGAGGCGGAGCCTTCGACGCTCTCTCTTTGTTGGGGGTTGTCGCCGGACCAGAGCCCGAAACCACATGTGAGGAGTTGGACTTGACTTGAGAGTCTTCCACCAATGATCTCGGTCCCATGGCCATGCTGAGGGCTTCTTGATCCATGGCACCACCTAATAAGCGTACCGTCGCTTGGGACAAGGGAATCCGTTCTCTTTCCGCCAGAGCAAACGCTCTACCGTTCAGAGACCGACGGAACTGGGTATCATAGACCATTGCGGCCGACTCTGCATATAACATGGAGACCCGGCATAACTCCTGCAAATAGTGGAGCACCCAGGGGCCTCCATTCACGTTGCAACTAGTGTCGATACATAGTAAGATGGGGAGAAGGCCGAGCCACAGTTCACTGAGATTGCGAGGTTTGCGGCCACCAGTGGCCGAGTCGGGAATCCATTGGATGTTGCCGTTGACATCCACTACTGGCTTCTTGCCTCCTGTGGAACGATCGGAACCTAGCTTCACCTCTCGGTAGGTAGCAGGAGACTCACTCAGCAGTTTTACGGTAGCCTGATCGACCACCAAACCGGGGGAAGCCGCACCACCATAACGCTTCGAAATTCGCTCCATATACTCGAGTTGACCTTGAGCGGCAGGGCCGTGCTTGTTGGAGAAGGCCTTAGCAGCACCTTGTAAAGCTGATTCGATCCTCAAACCACGAATCAAACGGAGTTGCCTCTGATCTGCCGTTTCTTTTTCACCAATAGGGCAAAGGACATCAACAATTGTATTCTTCAGCATATCTGGCTTTGAGACCAAGGTCGAGAGGTCAACGGTACCCACACCAAGTGCGAGTAGCCTGTCGATGAGAGCATCACGCAGAACCGTTGGGCAGCTGGCCGGGAAGATCGCACGAAAGGCCTCCGTTTCCCTAGCCAAGGTATCCGCCATAGGTAGGAGGATGCAACAAAAAACTGAGCGAAGCTTGGAACCAAATTTATAAATTAACCCTAAAGAGAATGAAGCAGCCGGGTAGCACGATAGTGATGTGGTAAACTATGAAAGTATAGGAAGAGACGGGTATAAAGTCGCCTCGGAAGAGCGAGCACAGCGTCTACCACGCTGCATCACAAAGCCATGTCCCCTATCCGTCTCACAAGACTCACACGTTCGGAGAGTTCCCGACGGGGAAGGTCTCCCTTGCAACGCGATCGGAGTCTGTATCAGGTTCCCAGGAATCAACGCTCACGGACGTGTTTCCTTGGGAAGACCTCACTGATCCACGGTCAGTGGTTAGACTAGGGATTCACTGACACGGCACAGGCTGAGTTACACGGAACTCAGAACTGAAGCTCATTAAATAGCTAAGTTCACCAAAGGCCACCAGAACTAGAGGATCATCCGTGCAACCTCACACATTTCGGGACCGATATACCGAAAGGCTCCCCACGAGTCGACGCTCGAAGACGTGTCTCAAGGGGAGCAGCTCCACCAAGCTTCAAAAGGATAGCAAGTTGAGCCTCGTAGCAGATGGGACTCAACTTGAGCATGAGAAGGAGAACAGAGAACACGACAACGAAGGGAAGTGAACGGTATGTATCACACTCAGACCGAATTTTCCAAACTACGCAATCTAGGTCATACAGAGAATTTCATAAGCGGATGCGAAAGGTATATGCGTAAGAACGACCGAGGAGTTTGACAGAAAGAAAAATTCCAGAGTGGAACCGGCTCGAGATGCTCTTGCACAGCCAGATTGCTATCACCTGGTCCTCGACCGGTTGCACTACCTCCTCGTTCGAGTCGATCACCATGGCGTGCGCCACGCACGCACGAGCGATACTTGTTACGCTTGCTTGAATTTGCCCCATGCAAGCCTGGACCTGCACTGAAGTGCATATCATGTTCATCTGTAATACCATTGAAGATACCTTCAGCTTCAAAGGGGGCGTCATCCTCAAGTAAATTATCCATATGACAGACATCATCCATGAATGAGGTTGAGTAGGTTGATGTCCTAGGAGCACCATCTATCACATGCCTTCTCATAACTGCATCCAGCTTAGACATAAGGTAACCAATCGAAATTTCCAAGCTTTGAGGAGCTTGTGAAGGTCCAAACGATACAGCCGTAAAGAAAGCAATAAAATTTACAATTCTCACTACATTGAGTGGATAGTTAAATGGGAAAAGTGCTAAGCTAAAGTAAGCATCATGAAGATCACAAAAAAGCACTCTACGAAACAATCGTGTTCTCACCAGAATGTCTCGCAGTTTGCGCTGCTCAAAGTCGACAAGAATCTTACTACGCCTTATAGCTCGGTTAAGTAAAGAATAAGTAAAAACTGGTCTGGGCTTTTTACCATGGACGATTCGATTCACTATTGAGGACGTAAAAATCATGTACAAATGTATATTCACTATTTAAAATAAAAAACGAAAGCTTCGTAACACAGTCCAGACTCTCAGTAGTAGTAACAGTATTCACAATACGTGATTGGGATATATAACGAAGTTTAGGAATTGGAGAGATCAGTCGTAAAAGATGACTAGGGAATATAGATAGGGAAGAACCACTATCAAGAATGGCCTCAAACTTTAAGAGACCAATTTGCATAGTGATCTTGCTACACGGACCCACTGAAAACTGGAGCATGCTGGGTCTCAAGTTAAAAACATGCTCCTGTATCAGTTTCCCATGTCCTGGGCTTCAAAATCAACCGCATCAGAATTTTCATCAATAGCCAGCATACCCGTAGTATCATCAGGGCCCACCTTCATAGGGCAGTCCCTGGCAAGATGGCCAGCTCGTCCACAAGAATAACACCTGTGAAACCAATAGGGATCCTTCTGCAAATAGAGACCCTTGGCAAGGGTCCCTTGCCCTTGTAACCTTTACCAGGTGAGCCTTTGAAGCCTTTACCACCCTTGCCACCTTTGACGTTGTAGTTGCTCTTGCCTTTACCCTTTCCTCCATAGTGAGCCGAGTAATAACCAGCATAAAAACTCAGCTCCTGCTTCCGTTGATCAGATATCTCCTTCCCACGACTTATAGTTTTAGCTCTCTCTACCATCTCATCCACCACGAAGGAATTGGCTTCGTGCAAGAGCGTCAGCCACTTCGGGTACCACCGAACACCCACCAACAGATAACATCTTCTTGGCAAGCTGTTTGAGATCATAACTGAAATCAAGATACGACTCGTCATCATTCATGACTCTAGAGTTAAAGGCCTCAAAGGGGTCTTGAGTCAGGAGACTGTGGATGAGGGAAGCCTTCACCTTATTCAAACCAGTGCGATCAGACAGCGGGATATGATCATAAGCAACCTGCACTTTATCTTCCAAGAACAGCGGGACATATTCATAAGCCTTCTCACCCCAATTATAAAATTTGGCTATCGTCTCAAACTTCTTAAACCAACCCTCGATCTTGGCAATAGTCAACTTAGAACCCGTTAAGGACGCACTGCGTCCGACGCAGGGGTAATCTTCAGTTGCATATTAGAAGTCGACTCGGACACCATTGCATATAGAGGGCAACTTGAGGAAGGACGTCTTCTGCTTGTCGAAGGAGCTGCTACCAAGTTATAGAGAAGTCGTTAGACTAACTCAACAGTAGATCACAATGATGATCCAACTTCACTAACTTCCAATATAACACTTATACATTGCAAAGCTAGGCTAGGATACAAATGGCACAATAGGGACATATGCTTTGTGTGCTAGGATACTTATATTACACTCGTTAAAGCACATGTTGCGCTGTTACTGCATTTTGCATGTAATATTTATAGCTAAATTCTCCCGTTGCTTTAGTCTCCCTACTCGATACCAGGACTAGTGCTGGCTTTTGAGGAAGGTTTCAAGTAGTTCCAACTTGGATAACTGTAATCCCCGAGATGGGATGGTATAGATGGGTTGGGTTGTTGATCGTTTAAAGTATGGGTTGAGTAGCCTCTTGGGTCAACAGACGGATTATTCGTAGATTACTATGTGAAACGTGTATTGTGCATTTCTATCTCATTACGCCGTGCCTTGAAGCGCGAGCAGCTCTTTGCCGGGGCATGACTCAACGATCCTTTATGGTTCGTGCGGTGATATTTAAGTGAGAACTTAAACTGCACTGATATTCCTCGAACCTTGGAACGGCCGCTGCCGCACGAAATTCAAGCTCAAAATCAGTCAGTTACCTTTATGAATAGGAATATTTCTCACGTAAATCTTGAAGCCTAAGCTGATTCCGATGCATATTGCAATAACCTGCTATGACGAACTTCGAAGTGCAGGGCAACTATCTGGAAACCCTCACTAGCTTCGTCTTGCCACACTTAAGGAATTGGACACGCTTACTACTCATCCACCCTCTGGCGGTCCGCAAAATGCATGACCCTTCCTACCTCGATGGTACTGCAAGCTACTTCCAGAGCATGGCCAGCGGTTAGGGCAACTTGCGGCATCTGGCTGACCCAAAGTCTAGTACCGCCAATGAGCAGCATGAGCAATCGTGGAAAGAGAATCTTTTCCAGGTGCCGCACCTGAGGTGCAGCATCTCATCGCCTTCGGTGCCCTCGATGAGCACCATACTGGGTTCTCTCGCTTGACGAACAGATTCTGTTCAACAGAACCTTCTGTTCACAAAGCTCACCACTAAATGAGATGTCCAAAGCCATCATGGCTTAGCCATGGCTACTGCTGCAGTGGCGGAACGCGGATCGAGGGAGTCGAAAAGGAGATTAGCGGGGTGCCGTTGGCCGCAGTCCAAGAAGAAGATGAGTCCAAGACGAGAGAACAGGTCCCGAAGCGTAGCCCTCGTAACTTTTTCCCTCGCAGGCGCGGTCTGTAGGTGATACCCTTGATTATATCCGCGAGCAGCTCGTTTTGGAAGTGTCGCAACTGCTGTCCCAGATGGCAGTGCACTGAGTGCAGTTATCATGGGGAGGCCCTCGGAGTCGAAGGCCTGTGAGCTGTCATTATTTTCTTTTCACTGAGAACTGAAGTTAGACGGTGATACGCGTGATTTTCCGCGAGCAGCCCATTTTGGGCGTGTCTCAACCGTCGTTTCTCCGAAGACAGTGCGGTTATAATGGGGAAGCCTATGACTTCGGTGCTCAGAATATGTATACTCCGGAAGTCTCTGTCCGTCTTGTGTAAGTCAATTCGAATCGTGCATCAGTAGCTCGAAGCAAAAAAGTCATGGCTTACCATTGCTCGTTCAGATCATCCCCTCACAGTGACGTATCATCACGGATGATACCACCGCCTCGTTCCATAAGTGGTATATGAGTCTTTCTATTATCACGAGAAACTGTGAGCATGGGCTAATGAGCGTCAGTGGACCAGTGCATCAAAACTATGTCGATGTATTGCAACAATGGAGTGAAAGTTTGAGAACTAGTTTATAGAGCTCAACTGAAAGAAAACTGTAAATCGAGATGTTTCGCTTGGACACAGTATTTTGACCATATATGGAGTATCCATCATTTCGAATACTCTACTATTTGATACGTTTAAACATTGTGAAACCTGCGACCGAGCTGCGAAACCACGCATGGTTGAACCATCAGCGATTTTATTTGCCGCTGTCGATGAGTGCCAAACTGTCGATGAGTGCTTCAAGATTCTTAGCCGAGGTGATGCATCGCTCTGCCAAACCAGAGGACACAAAAATGGGTTGAACGGTTTCTGCGAGGTGCGATGGCGCAATATCGATCAGAAGGTTTTGATCTTGCACTACCTCGCTTCTGAAAAGGTCGGGGTTCTCAATATAACACCAGTCAGGTATATAGACTGACAGCTGTGGGGTTCGAACCCACGCCCTTTCGGACTGGCGCCTTAAGCCAGCGCCTTAGACCACTCGGCCAAACTGTCGATAAGTGATTCAAAAATCATAGCGGAGAAGATGCGTTACACTATAGGACATGACACAAAAACGGTTTTGAACCGTTTCCGCGGAATGCGTTCTTCATCAAATCACACGAAAAGAATTACAGCTGTGGGATTCAAACCTACGCCCTTGCGGACTGACG